CACACACACACACACACACACACACACACACACACACACACACACACACACACACACACACACACACACACACACAAACACACATACACGCGCATAGGTACGTAAATATAACATATAAATAGAAAAATAAGAAACTGTAAATATAATTTATTATATTCGTTTATCGATAGCTTTTAAATGTTTTTGTAATACCGTTCGGAAAGATGTTATACGACGACGGGTATTAATAACAGTAATAATAATTAAAATAATAGTAATACGTATTTACCGATAACCATATCGATTTGTACGATTTATCATTCAATAATACAATTATATTTAATAATGTAATGTAATATTTTATCCGTGTTAGTTTTATTGTGTTTCCAATGTGTATACGATTCGTAAATAGAAAAATGTGTTAAATTGGTGATACATTTTATTTAAAATTTCCATATAATATTATATATCAATCCGTACGTCCAGAATTTCGGCTTGTAAATTTTAGTTTTACCAGCTTTATAGAATCGACCAGAATAATGTATATTTGAAATATATTCACCAATAACATATAAATATAATGAGTAAGGACATTTTAATCATTTGTTTATGTTGTATATTTTAATATTAAGAAACGTGTTAAGTTTATATACCTAATGATATTAAATCTGTTTACAACAATTTACCTATTATTATGTTCAATTAATAAGAAGTGTTTTTATTTGTGTAAATAAATTATAAAATTATAAACGTTTATGAAGTTGCAAATAAATGATATTATTTTGATGTCTGAAAATGTTCACGTTTTTCTATGGAAGGACATTCCTTTGATTATTACCTTACAATTCGAACGTTCCTACGATCCTACGTTCATAACCGAAATACTTGTTCGTCCGTGTTTATTTTTACATATAAGTATGCGTGTGTTGACATGGGTACGGTTAGTAACATGTTTACGTCTTCATTACTGGAGCGAGTATTAACAATTGTTCAGCCTTTTTACTAAAAAAAACGTAACATGATGATTGCACATCATGGAATATATGTAAATATTGTTTTTTTAACACATTTCACTCGACAAATAAAAAACCAGTAATTCCGTATTTCTTTTTTTTTAAATTATAATATTTTTTCTAATATTTATTTATATGTGAAATAACCCGATAAAACTGTCGATGTTAACTATATTTATATAACTATGTTTGAAATATTTTCTATTTTGCAAACATTATCTCCTATATTAGATTTATGAGTATTTTACAGCTTAAATAATAACTGGAGTGTTGATTCGCCCACTGATTTCGAAACTTTTGGAAATTTTTTTACTCGGAAATCTTTCATACTTTTCCGCAATAATCTAATATCGAAATAAAAGATGTGTACAGTGAAACATACACATTTATGACACTTAAATTTTTCACGATATTTTTTCATAAATTTAAAATAATCATGGAATGTTTAGATATAAATCTACATAATTATGTATATCTTTTTTCGATAACAATTGTAAAGTTTAATGACGATATTGTAAATTTGTAATGTACATATTTTGTACTTTTCTTATCCGTTAGAACGTTATTGTTTCGTTTGAACATTCAAAAGTTATTATGTGGGCAAAAATATTTTTATAGTCTAAGTGTTTTATAATCCTAAGTGTTTTTAGGTATTTACTTATGTTTATGATTCCAGTATACAAACGTATAATGTAGTGTTCAATGGTCAGTAAAAGAAAATGATTAACTTTAAATGAAAAAAATTGAAATTCTTGAATTTCGATCGTTCAATACAAACAAAGGCGTTCGTGCGTTCGCAGATAAGTTAGGTATTAGCGAAACATAAATCGAGGGTATCATGAAAAATAAAAACGTTCTTTTCAAAACTAGAGCTGGAAGTAAAGAAAAGAAACAAAAATGGACAAGGCTTCGGGGAAAAAAAAATTATGAGTCCAGAAAGTAAGAAACCAGAAGTAGGAAGTCTACGGCGGGAATCGGCCTAAAATACATTTCATCCATCGAGGTACACAATTATTTACTGTTCGTCAGCACGGGAAAATATATAATGCCTTGACTACGCATAAAAGTGTTAAATAAGACAATGTAACATCTATTTTTCTTAAATGCTAGTTTTTGTCGTTTCGTACATTTTTGAATAGTAAAACTGTCCATACAGACAGAAATAATTTTCAATAATATATAAACGTAGGTCAGTTTTCCAAAGAATTATTTTTCAAGAAATCTGGATAATACCCATCTATTACAACTTATAACATCTATCTTGATTGTCCTATTAGAGCCCATCCTGATTTTCGTAACACACATTAGTAATACCTATACGGCTGTTAAATTCCAAACGTTTAGCCAATTATACCATAGTATTAAGATTAACAACGAAAATTGAACGGTTTCGTGTGCACTGGACTTGAAACCGACCACTGCGAAGAGTGATGATCCGGTGTGTTGGTGAGCTGTAGGCACTCGGCTATGTTATGTGCTATTTACTCTTGATTCTCTTGAAAACAACAAGGCAAACATGCTTTCATTGTGGCCAGTACGCAACAACTCGACATGTTTAAGACGTCACTAAATATAATTAAAACGCCCACTTTAAATTTAATAATAATAATAATAAATACTATTGAACTTCGCAAATCAGAGGCACGTAAAAATTTCATAGAAGATCTGGTATCTCTTTAAATATAATTCTTGGTGTTCTTTAAAAGTTGTATGAATGGATAAATTTTTTATTGCTCTTTAAACACTAGATTTACATACTTCTAACTCAGTAAACAAGCATTATAGATACCTATTGGTTTTACAACGTTGCTTTTGATTTTTCAATTTTTTTTTTTTAAGTTTTTGTAGAGCGGTGAAATTTGTTTAAATTCTCTCGCAGTTCCGCGGTGACAGCCGACCGATACGCACGTATCTCGCGCTACCGCTCTTCCTAATTACCTAATTAGCGAACGTCTAGTTTCAATGCTTAATTGCGTTATACTTATATTAACAGTGTAAACTTATCATTAATTTTTAACTTGTTTTTTTATAAAACTATCCATGCTCAACTGTCTGTTAGGCAGTGCGTATATTGATCAAGTGCGAAAACGCACTATTATTTGGTATTTTCGTCACACGTAAGTCACAGTGTTACGTAACTGCTTCATTGCGGTTATCTTATCTGCCGACCGCCGTCAGGCGGTCTTGCTACATATATTATAACAACCGTCCACCGCCGCTCGCTCATTAATTATTATGTCGACAACAAAAACCAAACAAAACACCAACGCTAATCAACAGCCCAAACCCAATGCAAATACGCATAAACAATCAGAAACACAAAACTCTGAGATGAACAACCCAGGCCGCAGCACCCAAAACAACATCACTAACCGACCTGAAATGGAAACTGGACTACTCAGACAGGTAAAAGAAACCTTTCAAGTACATCATCTAGCTCTTCCACCTCCAAAACCTCTTCTACAAAAACTGCTCAGCCACAAACAAAAAAACTCTTTTTCTCAACACGCAATCGCTACGAACCACTTTTGATCACCGAACCGATCGACTCGGTATTTGACGTTGACATGATAGCCGAAAATCCTGAAATCACTCCCCGAGTCAAACCACCTCCCCCGATCTTTATGAAAGGAATAAATGACTTTCCTGGCTTCTGCACAACTTTAATTGAGTTGATAGGAGTTGATAACTTCATTTGCAAAGCCACCACAGGCCGCTTAAAAATACAGACCGCCAATCCCGAATCTTATAGACTTCTAATACATTATTTAAAAGAACATAACGCTAAATACCACACATACCAACTTGCGGAGGACAAACCCACGAGGATAGTTATCCGCAATCTCCACCCTACTACGCCAGTTGAACTAATAAAATCTGAACTCGAGACGCGCCTCTTCGAAGTCAGACAAGTTACGAATGTTCTACACAAAACCAGCAAGCACCCACTCCCGTTGTTTTTCGTCGATTTAGAACCTACCGAACACTCTAATCAAATCTACCAATTATCTTCCCTTCTGCACACAAAAATTAAGGTTGAAGAACCATACAAGCCTAAGTTAATTAGCCAATGCCAAAATTGCCAAGACTACGGTCATACCCGGGCGTATTGTGGTTATTCAGCACGCTGCGTTAGATGCAGCGCGCATCATCCATCTTCCGAATGCACTAAGTCGCCCGACTCCCCTGCCAAATGTGTACTATGCTCTGGAGATCATCCAGCCAACTACCGTGGTTGCATCGTCTACAAGGAACTTCAACGCCGAAAAACGCCGACCAATAAAAGTAATTTCTTACATGATACTATCAAACCAAATGTTAAACCTTATAATGTAAAAGAAAGCCACCCACTCGCTACCCTTTCGGATAAGAATGAATCTAATCCCACAAAAACTTATGCACAGGCTACAGCTAGTCAACCACCTCAACCTTCTCCACCCTCCGACCTAACTCAACTCATGTCCTCCTTTGTAGGTGAACTAAAATCTCTTATTAACCCTTTAATTGCTCTCCTGACACAAGTCATCACTTCACTTCTAAACAAAAAACAATGACTAATTCCTACACTAATAACTCATTATCTATTTTACTATTTAATGCTAACGGCCTAAAAAATCATGTTAATGAGCTCCAGACAGTAATCTTTGACAAGCGCATAGATATCGCCTTAATATCAGAAACTCATTTTACCAAATATTCTCACATTTCCATTCCAGGTTATTACCTACTAAAATCTAACCACCCTGATGGTACAGCACATGGTGGGGCAGCTATACTTATTAAAACTAACTTAAAATTCTATCCTCTTTCCAACTTCTCTCAAAATCATTTCCAATCCTGCGCCATCTCAATCACACTTAATAATATTCCTATTTGTATTGCAGCAGTTTACAGCCCTCCCAAGCACCTTATAACAGACACTAATCTCACCGAATATTTTGACACATTTC